GCCTCCTTCGGCCGGGCGGGGCAGGCAGCGCGGCTCTGCCCGCGCACGGGGAAGGGGCTGCGGGGAGGAAAGGTCTCGCCCAGGTGAACCCCTCCGGTAGTCGGCCGCTGTGAGGAGTCTTCCGCTCCTGTTGGGTTTAGGTCAGTTTCCCACTCTACAACCGCGACCGCTGCGGTGTGCAAGAGTTGGGCTGACTCACGCTCAGAGAACGCATCCCTTGCCATGTTCGTAATTCAAACAAATAGTTCGTAAGTGTTCAAAAAGTCATTTGGTAATGACAGAGGCACAAGGTCTACCGCTAGCATACACTGTGTTAGCTCCTCAGGTAGCCAGTTTTTCACAGTATTGGAGCTGTCTTGCATAGAAACTTTAATTGCTTCAAATCAGCACGACCCCTTCAAATAAATGGGAATTTGCTCACCCCAAGGTGCTGGAATCTTGCTCAGGGTCTCTAAATGTTTTCTGTCACACCATTTTACTTTGACTATAGGGAAGGGATGATATAAGCTCTTAAACATCTGCATTTTCTCCCTTTTTGCAGGGGGCCTATTCCTTCAAATAACACAAGGGGATTCCAGTTTTTTGAGCTTCCAGCAGCAAATAGTTCTCCCACAAATCTTTTCATCAAACCTACTCACTTGGTTTATTTTTCCAAGGGAAAAGGGGACAAACAAATAAGGAAATTAAAAAATTTTAAAATACTTAAATATTATTACATTTATAGTCAGAAAAAAATATGTAAATCAACTGCATCGAATTGTCTATTAGCTTTTAAATAGTCACCTCAACATACATTTGTTCTTTAGGACACACAAGAGATAAATAACTGAGTTAACATTGCTAGATAAATCAACTTTTTTTTCCTGAGCTGCAAATATTCCAGATTATAACCTCGAAGTTGCTATCCAATAACTACAAATAGAAACTAAACAGATCAAAGTGAGCAAGCGGGAGCCCACACTTGAGTACCCAGAGGCTAAATTTACTGACTTGTATAGTAGTACGCCCATCATTTCAGACTGGTAAGTCAAGACTCAATGGCTCTTAAACATAAACCCCAACTTGGCCACAAAGTGCCAGAGAAGCTCAGTATTTTGGCCTGTGCTATGAAAAACAAGAGGCTGCATGATTTAAAACAAACAAACAAAACCCTCCAAAACCAAGAACCGCAACAATTTTGGGTATCTGTGGTTTTAAACATCTACATAGACTGTGGCGACTCCTCCAGCCACAGATAGTGGGGTACCGAGTTCCAATTTGGCTTCAGGGTCTTTCCTCTTAGCACCGAGTACAAGGGTGGACCTCATATTGCACAGGAGTACTTATTTCATAATAATGAACCAACCTCTCTTGTTTGGAGGACCAACTACCATAGTCCAAACTATTCGCATACAATCCCCATAAGTGCTTATGTGGGTGGGAGTGGTCAGAAGAAATTAACAACTTCAGTGCTTACATCCTGTTGGAAAACCAGATTTTTGTGAGCTGCAGACTTTGACAGCACCAAGACAACAGGTGAAGTCAGACAGATAACAAAGAAATTTGTTTTACGGCTAAAAGCATCAACTGCTAGCCACTTGTGTATATGTGGACATATGCTTTCCATGCTTCTTCCTTCCAGGCCAGGCAAACTCCTGATGAAAAGAATAGGTAAAAATAGGGGCAACAAGAATCAGCTACACAGAGCTCTTCTGTGATGTTGTGGAGAACTTTTATTTTACCCAAACAGCTGCTGGATTTCTACCTTTACGTGTCGTGTCAGTGACAGAATTGACCAGATACGCTGCAGTATGGATCAGCACCATTTTTCGTGTTATTTCAAGACCTAGCAGAATAGCAGGGTCTACTTACAAGCTTCTCTGTCAACTTCTGAAAGGAAACAGCAATGTGGGAAGCAAGTTCACTCACAGGATGGGCACTCTGTTCCAGCTATGAGAAAGCTGGAATTTGACTTTCTCAGATATGAGTATAGAATGTTTCAGTGCACATGCACTTTGATCAAAAGCATAAAACCTTATCTGTAGGAAAAACTACTTTCTAGGGCTGCCAGCTAGAGCACAAAATGCATCCAATCAGATTACAGGACAAATTACCCTTGTGTGGGAGACAGCGATGTACTATCCCGATTGCCCTTTAGGTTTATGAACTCTCCTCATTTACCTCTATCCACCTTTTACATAGCTGCCACTGGCTTCTGGCACTTTATCAAGAGTGTTAGCATTTTACTGTTGAGACCACAAGGAGCTAAAATGTTTGCTTTAACGCTACAACCTTGACAGGGACATAACTGCAACCACACTGGAGCCACGGCCTTGGTGGAAGTTTTTGACTGTGAACTTTGAGCTTCTCATCTGGAAGACAGAAGGTTGACAGGCTCCACTGCAAGGAAGAATGCTCTGGGCCTGTTCTGTTCTCTCTTGCCCACTACTTGCAAATTTTATATGCATCAAGTCAAGCAGCAGCAGGATTGCCAATAATTTTGTTCTTTTCAATTTTTCTCAGTGAAGTAAGAGAGTTTCATTAAGCCTGGTTAAGTAACCTTCTAGATTGGAGGGAACACCCCCTCTCCAACTGTCACACACTGGAAAAGTATGATGCAGCTGGAAGCCTCTGAAACTACTTCCAGATATTCAGAACCTACAGAGTAGTTCTTCAGATAGTCCCTGTACCGTGCATGTTCTGAACCTACAGCCCAGAGTACGCACCCTCCCACAGCACAGCATATGTAGTCTCCAAGGACAGAGCATAAGAGCCAGTGGAAAACAATCAAAGCTCTTCTTCCTGCCACTCCAGCAATTTCTGAAGTCATTATAAATTCATTTGGCAGAGGAGTGTCACAAACACTTCATGCATGCAGAGACGTATTTTAAATCAGCACTCAAAAGATCAGAAAAAGACAAGTTTCCCTGTAGGGCTGATATTTCAGGAGTGCTTCCTACCATGCTACCTGCTGACATTACAGTGAGCCACTGACATCAGCACGCTCTCCTGGAAAAGACAAGACCCTTTAAAGAGCGAGTTGCTACACATTTACAGTAGCAGAAAGCACATCATGGGATAAGGGTAATCCAAGAAGACTACAGTGAAACAAAGATGGATGGAAATCAGTGCTTTGGTCCCCATCTAAAGGACAAGAACAGTGACTGGCCACAAGCGCCCCTTTTCTAACCAATGCATGCACAGCAGCTGTGGTACAGACAAGGATGCACAGCTCGAATCTTCCTTGCGTGTGAAAAAGGGCACACCCTCATTCAAACCCAAAAGAGCTTCTCAGGCTCTGTAAAAGATGCTGTTTTAAATACAAGTAGAATTACTAATTTTAAATTATAAAAAAAAATGTAGTCACCGTGGCCTGTGAAGAGTCCTCATGTGCATAGAACAACTTACAGAAAGGACTCAAACATTGTTGAGTGGCAGGACAGTAGTTATCCATCAGGACATCTTCTAGAACTGCAACTAGATTAGGACTCATAGTCAGTATCTTGATATATTTTTCAGGAGAACTTGAGGGTAAACAAAGTGCAACACTGACTAGAAAGGGCATTCAACTTTCGCCAGAAAGTGGTGACAATGCTTACCTTGCATGGTGGAATTCAGGAAAGACCTAAGATGATGACAAGGCTTGAGAAAATGGTTACCCGGCCCTCCTGATCTTTGCACAGCACTAGCAACTATTTTGGTCAACTACCTAGCTCTCCCCATCCAGAAGCATCAGCAAATTAAAAATAAGGCTTGCTCAAGCATAAAAGTAACAGAGAGCGTGTGTTCCAAGAGACACTCTCTTAGGTACAGTTCTAGAAACAGCCATGTTTAAAATGACATTCATAAAACTTCATTTTTTTGTTTTGTTTTGCTTTTTAATAGCTAAATGACCTGCCTCCCTTCATACATACTGGTGGCAGCACATGAAAGGGCAGTAACAAGCACTTTGGGATCTTGCTCGTACGTGCAGCTAGGAACAGTGTTTCCAGAAATAACAGAGCTGAAAAATGTGAAATGAGACCCTGAGATGCAGGTGAACATGGCAAAACACCTCAAAATCCAGAACACATCTGGAAGTGAAAATTGAGGAATGAAGACTGAAGGGATTACAGACCAGAGCTCTGCAGAAGCTGAGCTGCTCTTGCTATTAATATAACCAGCTCGTTTAAACACATGGAACAGCACAGAACATGGTCCTGCAGCAGTTGGGACTATAGAACACCCTTTAAAAACCAAGTAAGAGTTTAGCACAGAGTGGTGGCAACTGTTCAAGGACGATACAGTTTAAAAGAAGTCAAGTACACAGCAAAATACATCCTCCAATAGACAGGACAGAACCCTAATGCAAGGAACCCGTTTTAACAATCTTTCCTCATTCTGTCAGTAACAGTCAAGACAGTTTACAGTGTACCTCCTAAAAGGAAATGAATGATCGCACAGTCTAAACAAAATGCAAGAACAGGCTTGCTGCAGACACTGCATGCTCAGCACACCTTCCTAAACCCAGGCAGTGAACTTAACAAAGAGGTGCCATAAGAAAACATGCTAATAGTATTCTCTTCAATTTGCATATGCATTTTTTTCCCTTCGAAAAAACTGCTCTGTGTCCTTGTTTGCTGGGCAGAGATAACACATCACTCTACTCTGTAGTTTCAGTTTCCAAGTTGGCTGTATGGCACATGTGTCCATGAAGGTTCTGGACATGGTTTTACACTCTTAGAAGCTGCTCAGAATCAGCATTTAATGGTTAAACAACCTGTAGGAACTACTGAGGTTGCTGAGCCTCTCCCTTGCCAAAAAGCAAAGGAAAACGGACATGGTCCAAGTCGGGGAAGAAGGTGAAGAAAAGCACTTAAAAGGTGCACAAGAGTTAAAATTTCATTTTCTTTCTGCCTTCCTCCCCTCTATAGAGTAGCAAAGAGGAGACAGAGGAAGAGAAACAGCAGGATTCAATGGAAGGCAGGAGGTTCCTGATGGGCTCACCGATGGCTCAGTGCTGCTGTATGGGTGATGACTCGTTGCTTCACTGCTGCTTGGTTTTAAGGGATAATCTCTGTATCATCTTGTAAAGGAGACCAAAGTGCTAGAAACAGAAGGAAAATAAGTAACCACGAGTCCTTATAAATTCTAATAAAATGATTGTGTTCTACAAAGAGAGAAAGCTTACTAGAAGGCTTAAAACAATACTAATGTGCAAATGCAATACCCTGTTTGGATCATCCACTAGCACTCTCATCTTGAAGAAAAAGTGAGACTTGTTGAATTAGGAGGAATTATTACAATGACGCCAGTTACTTCACACTGTACAGAAAGTGATGGCTTACAGAAGTGTTTGTGCAGACCTGTATCACCCCCACTGTGAAGCTGCAAACACTTGTTAAAAATTTTACATTTTGTCGTGGGTTTTTTTTATGCCATTCTGTTCCTACTGAAGGGGAGGAGAAAGCTTCAGATTTCAACACATGCATGATACTGATCACTACGGAAACACTGCTGTTAGCAGTTTCAGGAATGTAAAAGTGAACCAGGCAAACACAGAGATTCCTAGCACACAATCCTTTAGCTGGATCTTCTCTTTCACCATTTCACCACTGACTTAGAAATTCACTTAATTCCTCTTTTGATTCTGCTTTGATTAATTGCATTTTGATTCGACAACAGCTACTTCAGATATTTGACAGATATAACAAGAACCAGGCTTCAAATAATTTGTAATAACAAACGTAATGAAGATAGCTGACAGAAATCAAAGTGAAAGTGAAAATCCCTTCTGTTCATGTTGTTACATCGGATTTTTAAGTGCTTGTTGTTTTCCCAAACAAACACAAATAGCAGGAAGAGATCAAAATTTAGATTGACCTAAAACGCTTCCCTTGCATTCATCTTCTTCAGAGAACCCAGCCAGGATCAGAAGCCTAGCTCACAGTGGCTTTGTTAGCACTTAAACAAAGACACTAAACTTAAGCAAGGCATGGAGTATCACATTTCCAAGAGTATGGACACAGGATGTGTTTATGTTTTTATTGAAAAACAAAACAAAACCCTGAAGATGCATTTCTAAGCTGTAGCCCAAGTTCAGATACTGGGAAAATGTCCTAACACGCCTAACTTACCAGAAACTGCAAATCTTCAACAATACAGCAGATTTTAGTTACCTTGAGAAGTTTCGGTCTGAAGCTGTTACATAGCCAAAATAGCTTAACAGATGAGTTGTGCATGTCCTTGACCAAGAGAAGGAGCTCTATAAAATAGTTTTGCACTAGAATGGCAAGAGATTGCCTTCAGCACAGCCAACAGATACTCAAAAATATAGACATTAAAACAGCCAGCCATTTTGGATTACTACTTTTAGAGTAGGGTGGCATTATTGTTCTAACTTTGGTGCTGGGACTGTGTGAGCACTAGTTACTGTAGCTAATGTGATTTATGAGGAAAATAATACATTTGTCTCCTGCTTCTCTTACCTGCACTGCAACATAGGCAACACCAAGGTAGGCTGCAATACAGACAGCCAGAAGCAGGTCAAAGATCGCTGGCTTGACCCTGCAATAAAGAACAAACACATGAAATTGCTACAGCAGGTACTGCCACAGAGTGAGACAGTAGCCCAACGTGCCCAAGGAAATCCCATACCTGTATGCATTCATCACCTGTTTCAGCTGGTCATAGAAAACAAACTCAGGGTCCCTGTGAAAAGAAGGAATTCTTCAGATTGTATTACAACTCTTGACACTGCAGTAAGGACAGCCCAGAGCTCTGTTCCCAAGGAGTTAATCCAACTAGAGACAAGTAAGCATGACCACCTTGCATAGCAGTTTCAAACTGATTTTAGTTGTCAAGTATTTCTTTTCCTACAATCAGAAGCCTGAGGATACAATTCAGAACACATGCTCAGCAGCTGTCTCAGAAGAGGCACATGGAAAATGCCTCAATAGGTTCATTAAATTGCTTCAACTCAAGCAGGTTAAACAGGGTAGAAGCTGCCTTTTTGCAATTAAAAAAAGCTTTCTAGGGGACCATAGTCCTTTCCTGCATTCAAAGAGAAGCAGCACTAAGAGTGGGAAGGGTGGAACCAAAACAGTGAAAAAACAGGCTCTTCAGACAGAGAGAGCTGCTGGGACTCGTTACTGTGCTGCGAGGGACAATAAAGAGCTTTCTCTGGGAGCACAGAGAGCAGAAAAGAACAATCACTTCCAGCTACATGCCAAGACGCCAGAAAAGCTGCTGCTCAGAGACAAAATTCATTGGAGGGGGAAACCGGTTTGCATGCCCTGTCTGGTTCCTTCATCTCTTTTCTTACCGTTTGTCTGCCTTTACATGGTGCTGTTTGACATCCTTCAGGTAGCGACCCATATAATATTCTAAGGTGTTGAGGAAGGTGCTGTCTTTATCAATCAGCTGAGCAGCCCTGGGCTGACTGCTCAGCCAGTCCATCACTGATTCCAGTTGCTCCTGCTGGATCTGCTGCAGAAAAATACCACCAAAGAATGGGACTCAACCACACATACACTAAGACCAGACCTCTCTCCCAGACTCTTGATTCCTTCTTCCTACGGGTTACACAAATGCACTGTGCTCACCATCTGATCCGTGAAGATCTGCAGATCTGCAGGTGCTCCCTGCAAGGGGGGGAAAAAAAACACAACCTCAGGCTATTGGTGAGCGCAAGCTTGGCTTGGCAGGACAAATCTGGCTAGCACTGCACGATAGGCAGCTCTTACCTTGTCTGTTAGGTTGTAGATGACCCTTGTCAAAGCCTCAGCAATGATCCTCGTATTCCTGATTAGTGCCTTAGTGTCTATTTGTGCCCTAAAGCAAAAGAGGGGATTATGGATTTGTCAATGGGATCAGTTTCCTCTAGAAACCATCCTTTTTCACTGCATCAAGCATGAGCCTGAATCTAGAGCCAACTCCCAGTGTTTTTTCACCCATCCTCCAACCATCAGAAAACAAGCAGTCATGAGGCCAATTTGTGTTTATGAGCTGGATTTCCACTGTAGCCTTCCCTAAGGCCTCTAACCTCCTATCCATGATGCTGTTGCGCAGGCTGTCCCGGTGGCTCTCCAGATGGGAGATGGTGAATGCTGGCAAGCGTCGGATTGCAAAACGCTCATGCTCCCATGCCAGCATGTCCTCAGCCAAGTTTATCTTCTTGTGCACCATGGAAAACTTCACCTCTGGGAACTGGCTGGCAACGACCTGAGGGAAAGGACAAGCCATCCAGGGTGTCACTCTGTCCATTGCATAGTCCCATCTTGCACTGCCCAGTCCACCTAGACCCAATTTTTTTGTGTTCCGGAAGGTAAATATGCTTCCAAGTGTAAGGTGCAGTTACTGCCATTAAAAATGTGGTTTAATGTCAAAAAAGCTGGCACTACAGGGTAGCTTTTACAAGCAACAAGCCATAAGGAAGTGTAGTGGCAATTACAGCAGATCTAGTCTGCTTCATTTGGGACTGTGACATGAGGATTTATCTGCACTTCAAATCAAGTGACCATAAACAACACATTTCAATGGCAAACCCTTTCTTCACATCTTCCTTCCTTCCTCTCTTGGAGAGCTGCAGTTCCCCACAGTAAGTCCCAAGTTCCCATCTACCTACAATGCTTTTCATTACCATCTCCAGTTCTCTCAGAAACGCATGCTGCAAGGTCCCCTCCTTTGGAGGCTTTGAGACATGGAGATGAAGGCTATTGCCTCGGCCCAGAGTATCAAGGCAGAGAACAAATGCTACGTTGTCCTGCAGCAGGCTGGAATCTGGAACAGAAAAATCCAAACCGTTATTGCTATGTTTTGCACTGGAATTTCCATCCCAGAAAAGCAAGGCCCACACAAGGAGATTCTCACAGGAGGGCTGACAAGCTAGACACTCAACACAATCATATTAACAGAGGCCCTGCCACAGAACATGCTGGAACGCCAGCCTTTTACTCACCAGTGTGGTCCAAATTGTCTTCCAGCCACCGCTTGGTTCCTTGATAATTAAACTTGCCACCTCCAGATGCAAAGAACAGCAAGTTATACCTACCCATCAAAGAAGACAGAAAAGTGTTAGTGCACTGCATTCCATGGCTACAGAACTCCTTTACTCAGCCTTGGAGGTGTGGTGAATTCACAACAGCTAGCACCTGATATTCAAGGCAAACTGTCCATTAACAAATGCTTCCTACATGCTACATACTAAGGTAATGGCAGGATGGGGCAAAAGGGGAGAGTTCCCAGTGCCTGAGGATGGAATCTACTTCCCACCCTACTTGTCCCCAAGCTTGAGCAGAGCTATAGCAAAGAAACCAAAGGAAGGAGCATGGCCATTAACAGCAACTGTACTTGGAAGGAAACAAAACAGAGCAAAGGAAGTAAATGACTGCTCATAACACTCTACAGGTCTGGAGCAAAAGCCCTTCTTATCTGATCGCAGCTACACACATTCAACCAAGAACAGGGTAGTTTCTTACCCAGCATGGGTACGTCTGTATGTGTAGAGCCGGGAAAACAGCCTGGCTAGTTCCAGTAGCACTGAGATACCACTGCCATTGGAGTCAGCACCATGTGACAGCCACTGCAGGATGAAGTGAGACAGAGACAAGGTGACAACCTACACTGATTTTCATATACCAGAACAGCCTTCAAGATAGTACACCACCATGCTCTGCTTATAACTGCCCATCTTTAGGGCCAAGAAAAAACATAGCAGCAGAGGCCACATGGGAAAAAAAGACAGGAACGCACAGACAGGAACAGAGAGCCGCAGGAAGAAAGAATACTCACTGGAGCCACTCCAAAAGAATCATAGTGGGCAACGATCACAACAGTGGGCAGGTCTTCTCCACCCAGCCCCGTTAGCCTTCCCTGCAGAGGAAAGAAATCAGTGTCACTCAGCATCACCTCTTGTGTGTCTGTACAAAGACAGCATGACTTCTGCACAGCTTTTGAGTCTGCAGTGGCCTCAGTTCTGAGGACTTCAGATATTTATTGGACTCCTCTGACTTCCCCTATCAGTCCAAATGTCTAAGGAAGTCCCAATAAAAGAAAGCATCCCATTATGTTGCCAGTTTGAGTCCATATACAACTCACCTCCACACTGGGTATGAGCCAGTCATTGATAGCTTTGCTTTGAGTCCCGCTGGTCACCATCTGGAAGCCATTAGCAGTTGCTGTGTGCAGCAGAACTAGAACAACAACAACAAAAAAAGTACACCAGGGGAAGTTTCACCACTTTATTTCCCTTGCTAACTTAGCTTTGGAGAGAGCAGCTTTAAACTGTTTAAGCCCTCTCACTTGTTGCCTGTGTCTATGCGTTGACATGGAATCCTGGTGACCAGACAATTTCATTCTGTCCTGAAATCTCAATATTGTGAGCTGGCTAAACCAAAAACTTTTCTCCAGCAGTCCTTAAAGTTAATCATGAGCAACAAGGACAGTAAGATAGTAGTTATTTACAGAGGAATACATGGAAGCACTGAATGGACTTGCGGTTAGACAAAACACTTCAGCTTCTACCAACACACTCTAGTCACTTAACATCTTCAACATTGTTTTTAACCTGAGTTTTGTTGTCTATCTTACTTCCAACAGTGTGAAGCTGAGAAGTCAACTCCATGCAACTGTGTGTCCAAATATAGTCAAGTAATACTCTTATACTGTTTTTTTTTCCATTAAATCCCACAAGACTTTTACAAAGACAGAATAAACATGAAGGTGACAGAACACTGGTTCATGGTGCATATAACACAGCAGATTGCTCCCAGAGATGGGATCAGACCTGTCTTCCTCTAAACCTTTCCCCTGCTTGTTAGAACTCACCTTCTGCAGCTGAGGCAGAACCCTGCGATGCAGAAGCAGCCCGTGTTTGTTCATAAATAGACAGTAGCTCTTCATCTTCCACTGCAAAGTAGACTGGCACAATGGTTTCCATAGCAAGCATTTCTGGCTCTATCTCCATGAATTGCTGAGAATGTAAGTGAGACACAAACTTAGCATCTGCTAAACATGCAAGAGGGCAGAAAAAAATTAAAAACCATTTTTTAAAAATTTAGAATATGATTTGTTGTGCATTACAACAGGAGCTTTCAGTCCTGCAGCAACCCAAGCCCCTCTCCCTCTTAAATACATCTCCTATCAGAAAAGGAAGGGAATCTTTTCTTACCCTTACAACATCCTGGGGGACAGAAGAGATAGATCGTGGCAATATTATCACCACAGCACCAGCTGACTGACGGAGAGCCTTCTGGTACTGCTCATAGGAGAAATCCACCAGCCGCATCATGACGCAGCGGCGGCTCAGGACATCTGCTTCTACAGTGCGGGCTTCTGTGTTAAGCACTGCACTCCTGGTTCCTGTGAGGAGAGAACAGCAAGAGGTTTTGTAAGTGATTTCATCAGACGCCATTTGCTTGATCCTAGCTCCTTCACAGAACAGACTTGGCGACAGTCCGACAAACTTCAGAGCAGCCAGGACTTGCAGAAAGCTAAGTTTGCCTCTTCCCCCTCGTCCAAGAAGGAACAGAGATTTGCGTTTTTTCCCTGCATCCATCAGAGCAACATCTGTGCAGCCATGTCCTGCCAGGCTCCCCTTACTCCAGCACTACATGGCCTCAACTTCTTCCTCCCCACCACAACCACACAGGCTGCACATAATACCTGCGGACAGCAATCTGGAGAAAGCCTGGCCTCTTGCTATGCATCCTCCAGCCGTACGATTGTGTCTGCAAGCAGAGGATGCAAGCTGTGCAGAATCACTTTGTGAAAGTACACGAGGCTACACCATGTCCAAAGGGCTGTTCTAGCTCACCCACTGGGATGTTTCTATGGCTGAGAAAATTACAAATGAGCAGGCTGTTTTTAACTGCTCGCTCTCTCCTACTCTCATTTTCAGCATATCAAATCTCCCACATGAGAATGCAATCCTTTGGGAGAACAGCAGTCTGGAGGCTTGCCAGCAGCTCCAGCATTCTCCAAGAGAGGACCACAAGGACATCTTGTATAAATAGAGACATACAAATCCACCTTACAGTTTGTAATGTAATGCTCCAAATCCAATTTCTTCTTCTATAACTCTGGCACCTACATTGAAGACTTCATCACACTGGGTACCCATGCAGCCAGGGAAGGAGCAAGGTGCTCCAGAAGGCATCTAAGCCTATGCCAAATAAGAATGTTGCTAAAGGTTAGATTTAAACCTGGCTTAACTTAACTCTAACATTAGCTTGGTCTTGTCAAAGGTCAAATCACCTAAACAAAAAAAAAATAATCTGTACTTCCACTGTGCAGTATCAGTGAGGGCCACATAACCAGAAATGGAGTTAAAGCATGATCTAAATTCTGTATGTAGAGCTCCTACACTGTATAACAAACACATATTAACAACGTCCCCCCTAATTAGAGCAAAACAATCCATAATAAGGATAATCCTTCCACCATTGCCAAAATAATGATGTGTAAACATGGCAAAGTGTAGACCCAGAGTTCTGCTCCCAGCACAACCCTCTGACATCTAAGCAGAGCAGACCCAACAGTATTTTCTAACAGCATGGCAAGACAAGTTGACTTTCTGTAGTTTCTCTGTAAAGAACTGTTTAATAATTGTCCATTTATAATCTAAAGAACGTTATTCTAACAGTATTAGAGGAAGTCCAAGTTTGTTCTTGAATTTTTCTAGGACTGAAGTTGACAAACACCTGTACCCAGGAAGAAAGGGTCAGCAGCAATCTCTATTTGGTCTTTTTGGAAAAGAATATGAGAATCTGGAACAACAAATAGCTTTGATCTTGAAGGACATCTGGCCTCAGAACACACAGGGACCAGGAATATCAGCTACTCAAAGGGGCTGGCAAGAAACAAAGGAAACACACAATCCACCGAGCTAAAAAGCTCCAGAAAAAGAGACAGCGTAAAAAGTAAATTGCAAGCATCTTTAAAAACAATGTGTGTCTTTCCCAGAGTTCACAAAATATTCCAAAATACGTTGGTGAGCACTAGGCTAGAGAGAACACTCAGGCAACCACAGTCAAAGCCAGCTGAAACACATGCCTGCTGCCCCCATTAAGCCTGCCAACAAAGATTTACCACCACATGAGAAAAGAGATAGCTTAATACCCCCATGAGAGCGCCTACTTTGGATCTAGCGAGGTTTGTCAAGAACAACAGGTCTCAAGATGCAGATGCATTTTGAGAAACTGTGATGGAAGAACTCAGAAATAAGTTCAGATCTTCAGAAGCCACCAGTAATGTCTGTACTGTTTACAAAGCATGCAGACATAGCTGGTATTTTATAACTTTTACTGATGTTTGATCTTATCAAGATCTGAAAGATCTACAGACCAAGTCTCATGGACAGTACAGAATAAATGTGGGGCTGTACTACCAGACTGTTAACATAAGTCTGAAACTTAGACCACAAAAGAGACAGCAGGAAGAGTCACTCACAGACAGAACAGATGCCCTGATCTGGAATAAAATATCTACAGAAGACTCAGAAACAACACTTGATTCCAGGTTATTGAGTATAGGGGTGTGGAGGCCAAGGATTACAACACTTCAATGATTCGCAGAACAGCTTGTGTTTCTGACTCAAAGAAAGGTGTTGCACAATCAGCAGCCTGGAAGCAACAGAAGAGAGGAGCTGGAGGTCAATCGGAACATAAAGGAAGAACTGTAAAAGAAAGGACTCTCAAATGAGGAGGCACTGGAGCAATAGACACTGCTAATTAAGATGGAATAAGAGGCTGAAGAGCAAAGAAAAATAGACCTGTCAATAGAGGCGCCAAAGGCAAGAGAACAAAACTGAGCTCACGACCAAGTTCCCCAGTATGCAAAAGGACTGCAGCTGGACTACTTAAGCACAGGGAGTTCAGTCCACACACAGGAGCTTGCAAGGACACAGCAGGGTCCTTGGCCATCTCTAGGTTACCATGCAGGAGCTCTCAGCACCCTCCTGCTCGTGCTGAGGCTGGGCAGTAAAACTCAGCCAGATGGTGCCCACCTGCGTCCTCCCGTGGGTCTGGGTCCGGACCCGGACCCGGGCATAGCTGCAGCCTCCCAGGGCCCTCCGAGCTGTCCTGCAGCCTCCCCTGGGCTGGGCCGCCCTCCCCGGCCTGCCTGCAGCTTCGCGGCCTACACTGGGCTCCTCCCCGGCGTCGGGGCTCTTCCCAGGGCCCCGTCGGACCTGAAGGGAGCCCCTGCCGGGGTTCGCCCTCCCGGAGGACCAAGACCTGGCGCAGGCTGAACCGAGCTCGGCCGGGCCGTGCAGTCTCTCACCGTAGGGCTGCCCGCCCAGCTCGTACTGCTGCATGCGGTAGACCGTGAACTCGTGGGCGGCCTC